ATTGCCGCTAATCTCTCCTTCATTCCTTGGAATTATCTATGCCCTGGGTGTCTTGTTTCCTCATCCCCATGTTAGCCCTGGGTGGCTCAGCAAGTTATCCAAGAGTCTGCAGTGGGTGACTCAGATGGGGAGGAATTTCCATGCTCCATGCCCCCAGGTAACACTGCCATGGGCCATGCCTGGAAGATGACCGTCAGGTCATCCAGGAAACTTCACTCCCAGGACAGGCCTGGTCGTGACTCTTATCTTAGTCTTTTTTATCTTCCTAAGTACAACTAATGAACAAAGACTAGGCTATAACTGTCTGCATTGTCTGGTCTGGAAAGCATTGCTTTGAAAAACCCATAGACTATTGCGCCTGGTGTTCCTGTGTTCTAGGACCAAGCTTCAGAGGTAAAGGTTGGATTTAAAGAGTACAGAAATACGTTGGTGACCACAGTTTTCCGTACTGTTCTGCTCATGTGTGACATCTGATCTCATAGCTTTCTTGTCTTACTGGGTGTCAGTGAGAGTGTGTTTGAGCACACTGAGTGTCTACTAGCTGGAATAATTAGGGATTCATCTAGCCTGCCCCTAAGTCCTGCACCCATGGTGACTTGAAACCATCTGTATTCCCAGTCTCAGGGAGTCCTTAGCTTCAATCTCCTACTGTTTACCTTTTCTTATGTTAAAACCCACAGTGTTCTTAAAGACCCAGTTCAGTTCATTCAGTCACTCCGGGGCGGGGGTGGGGGTGGGGGGGGTGGGGGTGGGGGGTGAAGGTCTGTCTAGCCCATCTTGCCTACAAGCTTCAATTCTCTGTGATATTTAAGTACAGAACCATACACACAACACATAAAAAGAAGTCGTCAAGTCACTAGAAGTCCAACAACTTCTTGTGCCCTCAGGGAGGTAGGCTGTGTTGCTATGCAGGCTTCATTCTGGTCCTCTAGGTGGTGTTCCACCCAATTAAATCTGAAGACATTTCCATCTTCACATTAGTCTCTAGAGTCCTTTTCCCCCTTGTGAAAACCATGGACTTTGCTTCGTAGGATGTGCAGAAATCCTTACCATGCTTCAGGCAGACTTCCTGGAAGGTAACTCCCAGAATTACTTATTTGAACAAGGTCTGATTAATGCCCAATGGAAGGAACAGTACCGCCAGTTAATATTTAACTCCTGGAAGGGGTAACTGTGTTGGGGTTTAATAAGTCTGCAGCCGAAGTTGGCACAGCCTCTACCTGTCAGCACTCACTGGGTCACCTCGTTCCCTAGACTGTGGCTTCTCCTTACCTTCTTCCCCTCCTCTCTTTCCCACAAAGATTCTGGGAAGAAACATGGAAGTTATGACTTGCTAACCAAAGGCGTAGCTGAATTTAGGTTTCCTATTTACTTAGCTGGGAAATGCTCTAATTAAGAGACGAGCTCTTTAAATCAAAAAGCTCCACCTGGAAGGACAGAAATGAATCCCCCCCAAAGGGCTTTGTTCTGGGGAATGGAGACCCTGGCCCCTTCACACAGATTCTCTGAGCTGAGGTCAGATAGCTCTTCCTTCAAAACTCAGTAGAGAGTGTAACCAGGATTGTGGGGTGAGTGTTCCTAGATGTCTGGATAACTTCCAGAATAAGAGCTGACTGTGTAGAACCCCCGAACCCCAGAGAGAATAAAGAACAAGTGACTACGTGGAGTGGGAGAGTCTTGGTGTAGGGAGGCAGTTTAGTGTAAGAACCAGAGAAGGAACCAATGCCCTGGGCCAAATACTGGTTGTACCATTGTTTCCTGTAGGACTGTTGGGTGTGACTCAAAAGCCAAGCCTTCATTTCCTTGTGGGTAAATTGCATTAGTAGACTCTTTCTCGTGGGGTTCTGGAGGGAATGACACAAAACAATGCAGGCAAAACATGCAGGGCCTCATAATGGCTTAAAGAATTCCTGTTATCCTCACTCATTCATGTCATCATCCATTTAGAATATGCCTTGTGCCTAACATGGACCAAATAATGTACACAATCGTAGTGATAGGTAACTGTGTTTTCCCGAGGAGGCAGGTTCAGAGGAGGAGCTAATAGACATTTTCCCCTGGTTAAAACAATAGCAATGGTGTAAACATGATCTAAGGGTGCAGTCAGGAGCTGAGAAGCTTCCTGGGTGAAGAGTTCGAGGCAGACTTCCTTTATGGAAGCTTTGGACTTTTTTTTGTACAGAGAACAGAGAAATGAGTATTTCAGAAAGAAGGGACAGCCTCAAAGCTGGGCACACAGCTTTAATCCCAGCACTCCGGAGGCAGAGGCATTGGGTTCTCTGAGTTCGAGTCTGGCCTGGTCTACATGGCATGGTTCCAGGACGGCCAGAGAGAGCCACACAGAGAAACCTTGTCTCAAAAAACCGACAGGAGGAGGAGGAGAAGGGACAGCCTCAGCAGAAGCACAACAGTGAGAAAGAAAAACCCTCGTGTCTGGAAAACCAATGAAAATTTGACAGAGTGCCGGAGTACAAGATGGGCGTGTTGACTGATGAAGCTGGGAAGTCAAGGGCAAAGATATGGGTCATATGAAAGTATTCACAGTGCATGATCCGATTTCCATTCTGAAAGATAACTGATGTAAGTATAGTTTATATAATACAACGATGATATATGAACATAGTTTCTATAGTATAAAAATTAAAATAATAAAATTGATTAGCGGTAAAAAGATAGAGATAAGGAAGCCCTGACTCAGAGTCATGGCAGGTAATGGTAGACATTTGGATGGGACCTGGAGACATTCTTGTTCCATCTCCTAGTGACACTGAGCGAATGGCTCCTGTTCCTGGGTTTCCTTTTAATTAACAACACTTGTTTTCAAATGATTTGTGTGGGAAATGTAGAGTGTTTCAAATGTGTATTTCTTTTTTTTCTTTTCTTTTCTTTTTTTTTTTTTTTTTTTTTTTTTTTTTGGTTTTTCGAGACAGGGTTTCTCTGTGTAGCTTTGGAGCCTGTCCTGGATCTCGCTCTGTAGACCAGGCTGGCCTCGAACTCACAGAGATCCGCCTGGCTCTACCTCCCGAGTGCTGGGATTAAAGGCATGCACCACCACCGCCCAGCAACACGTTCATTTCTAAAGAGTTTGGGGCTGATCATAAAGACGTACCCTTAATCACCAAGAGTCCGTTAGGCCGGTCTCCCCACACCTTCTGCACCATTTCCTTAAAGTTGGCCCTCTTTGTTTTCCTTTTATGTCTTAGCTTCTTCCCAGTGATTTTGTGTTTGTTTGTTAAGAAAAAGTCTTTCTACGTTGCTCAGGCTGGCCTCAAATTCATAATCTTCCTGCATCAACTTCCCAAGTGCTAGGGTTCCAGAAATGAGCCATTCACCTGTCTCCCTCAGTGATATCAACAGATTTCTTTTGAGGGGGGGAGGGAGTTCACATTTTTTTTTTTTTTTTTTGGTTTTTTCGAGACAGGGTTTCTCTGTGTAGCTTTGTGCCTTTCCTGGAACTCACTCTGTAGACCAGGCTGGCCTCGAACTCACAGAGATCCGCCTGCCTCTGCCTCCCAAGTGCTGGGATTAAAGGCGTGCGCCACCACCGCCCGGCGGGAGTTCACATTTTTGGCCTCTAAAATTAGTTAGAATCCTTGGTTGCAAATGACAGAAACTAGCCTAATGGAGAAAACAAGAAAGGACGAGGGAGGAAAAACAGAGGGAAGGGGAAGGCAGCAAAAGACAGAAGAAACAGGAGGAGCGGGGAGCCAGCGCAGACCGAGGTGAAAAGAGGAAGAGAAGGATGGCGGAAGGTTACCATGAGCTGCCGAGCGAGCGAGCGCTGAGAAGTCCAGGCGTGGGGGGCACAGTCTGGGGATTCAGGTGTGGCCTGGCCCTACAGACCGCACAGGTCACCACGCTGTTAATCACATCCAGTCCTAACACTCTGGGTGGAAAACAAGTTACATAGTTCTTCTGTTGAAGAGCCAACCCTGCGTGTTTAGCGTCCCTGGTTTCCCGATTCCCAGAGGGAGGCGATGGTCTCATTTTCCAGGCCTGGGTCCTATGCCCACTCCTTGGCAGAAGAGCTGATGAGTCAGTTGATAAACAAAGAAGGTAAATAATGCGTTAGAGCAAAAGAAGAGTCTATGACAATCAGTGTGCACTACAAAAAGGGGGCTCGGTGGGGGGGCGAAGATTGCAGCAACCCTTCCTTTTTCGCTCTTTGGTTCACAAACAAGAAGACTTTTTTTTTATTAATAAACATAGTTTGGTTTTTTTTGTTTTCATTTTTGTTTTTTGTTTTTGTTTGTTTTTGTTTTTTCTGTAAACTGAAGGACTATAAGGGCAAAGAATAGTCTTTGAGTAATTCTCTGAAGAGATAGTGCCCTTGTCTACATGTTATCGCCGGCTGCACTGTAGCCGCAATAGGAACATCTCATCACTTGCAACTTGACATTAACGTTGCTTCCACCAAACCCTTAGGAATTTTTTAATTCATCACCTAATTTATAGCGTAGATTTGGGGTGTGGTCTGGATTTCATGGTGAGGGTTGCTCTACCTAGTGAGCATTCTGATTTGCTCTGGAGTTTATTTCTATTCTCAGAGGAAAAGGCTCTAGCATCCATGCTTTCCTTGACCTGGAGATATTCTTATATCAATGAATTATTCATGCACTTGCACACATACACACACGCACACACACATCAGTTCTGGTTCTGCTTCCTGAACACTGATATTAAGATTTACAAGTCAGCAGTTAAACATGGTTATTATTGTTTTAGAGATTTCTTTTCATTTTATGCATATGAGTGTTTTGCCTGCATGTATGTACATGCAGCAAGTGCATGCAGTTTCTGTGGAGGTCAGAAGCGGGCATTAGATCCCCTGGAACTGGAGTCACAGACAATTATGAGCTGTCATATGAATGATGGGAACTGAACCTGGGTCTTCTGCAAGAGCATCAAGTGTTCTTACCCAAAGAGCTATGGCTCCAGAGCCTAAACATGGTTATTATTAACATTCATATAAACAGCAAATAAATGATGTTACCAGCAACTAAAATAAATTACCGAAATTTATTCCTTCATAATAATTTGCATCTGTGAGATCTGTGTGCTGGGAATCCTTTATAATATGTTATGCTATGCCTATACTTCTCTCCTCAGCTCTATATTCAGTGAATCCACATTGGTAGCTTAAAAGTGACCATGGTAGGACTATTTACATCATTGCGGAAATTGGCAAGCACTACAACAAGGCCTTTTATTCCCTAGCTTTGGTTGTTAAACATTTACCAGCATACCACACTGTACACACATACATGCATGCACAGGCCCTGATGTACCTCTTGCATATTTTTAAACACAGATGGCTTTACCTTTACTATCTGTCTCAGCACAACACATCAAGGAAAACTTGGTCATGCATCAAAATATTGTATTATATACATCATTCATAATTACAACCTCCTTCCAAGATATGTATCTGCCTGCCTTGTGTGGTAAGTAAAGTATCATCAGCAGACATCACAGTACTTAGATTTTTTTTGTGCTCTCCTTTAAGGAGTTCCATATTATGAGAGGCTCATCCATGGAGGTGTGCTATGCTTTCCTTTCATTCAGCTCCACATTGAAGAACACTGCTGGTGCTGAACCAGAAGACTTAACAATTCCCCAAGTCCTTGAAAGAGTAATTGATCAGTAGCCAAGGATAATTTACACTGGTTGACTCTTTCAGCCTTTCTTGCTAACCGAAATGTATTTATGAATTCAGTGGCTGTCACTGTAATATTATTCCCTTGCTGAGTACAATTAAGCCAAGTATAAGCTCAGAATGGAACCAAATCCTGAATAAATACTGTTTTAAGACTGATGTAATTTCTTGCTTTTTGCGAAGTGCAATTGAACATGCACATCTACGGGACTAGCTGTACAGGGGCCAGCTAATATGTTAAGACTTTTAATCTGCTTAATGGGATCAAGATTGGGCATAATTAAATATCTTTGAGCTTGAATCTTTCATTGCAATAAGTAAATGACTTTGAATGAAATTCATTCAGGGGATAAAACAAAAGCGAATATTAAGGTATGAATTTTGAAGAAATAAATTACCCTCTGTCTAGTTCGGGCACTTGGACCAAATACCTGAAAAATTATCTACCAACTTCAGCATGTTCTTAGTAGGAAGCTTGGCTCCTTCCTCCCAGCTTTTCCCCGAGTCCAGAGTTTTCCTTTTGTGTTTGGTTTCCATGTTGTCCCATGAACATGCTGGAAGGATGTTGGCAATCCAAAGGTGACAGGCAAATGCCTGAGATGGGAAGGTCAGCCTTTCTAACGTAAACACCCTAGAGATTCTCCCATCACTGATCACAAGGGAGCAACCTGCGGGCAAAGCCTGCTTGAGGGAGGTCGTACTTTCCTAGAGTAAAGTGCCTGTCTCTGGAAGTGAGGAAAGAGTCCCTTGACTGGCGGAGCATAACTTCCGTGAATGGCTCGCAAGCAGGACCCCCTGCTGCCTCAGATGCCCTCTGGAAACACGGCTCGGTCATCTGAGTCTCCTCTCTGCTACTTGACACCTGTGGTCTGAACAGCTGCCTCTGCAAATGTGTTCTTGCATCCAGGTTCCCTGCTCCCCTGTCTTCCTGTGGTCCAGAAAAGTCTTCCTGTTGGGCGCTGCAACAGACTCGGTCGATGGGACTCGGCAGACGATTGCCTTGTGGCAGACTGAACTACCTCTGTAGGCTGTGGCCAGGGATCAGGAGGTCAGCGGGAGACAGTGAGGCCGGGTCACTAGGTCCCTGCTTAAAAACAAAGGATCCGTGTCATGGGAACGTCACAAGAACTGTTGCTAGTTGCTGTGGTGTCCTGTCTCATGTCCTCAGAGGTCCCCTCATCCTAGAACTGTAATCTTGGAGCTTCTTTGCCTGTTAGAAATAGGAAATGAGGGTGGTGGCGGCGGTGGTGGCGGCGGCGGTGGCGGCGGCGGCGGCGGCCTTTAGTCCTGGCACTCGGGAGGCAGAGGCAGGCGGATCTTGTGGGTTCAAGGCCAGCCTGGTCCACAGAGTGAGTTCCAGGACAGCTAGAACTACAAAGAGAAACTCTGTCTTGAAAAACAAACAAACAAACAAAAAAACCAAGCAAACACAAAGCATTAGATTTGGGGCTGGAGAGATGGCTCAGTGGTTAAGAGCACTGGCTGCTCTTCCAAAGGACGTGGGTTCAATTCTCAGCACCCACATGGCAGCTCACAGCTGTCTGTTATTCCAGTTCTGGGGAACCCTATGCCCTCACACAGACATACGTGTAAGCAAAATACCAATGCACAGAAAATAAAAATAAATAAATCATTTAAAAAAAAGAAATAGGGCCGGGCGGTGGTGGCGCACGCCTTTAATCCCAGCACTCGGGAGGCAGAGCCAGGCGGATCTCTGTGAGTTCGAGGCCAGCCTGGACTACCAAGTGAGTTCCAGGAAAGGCGCAAAGCTACACAGAGAAACCCTGTCTGGAAAAACCAAAAAAAAAAAAAAAAAAAAAAAAAAAAATAGAAATAGGAAATGATAGAGAGAATGCAACCAGGAGACCTTTCCCCACCACCACTCTGTCTACATACTGTAGTGGATAGCTGTTTTCCAGCTATGACCTTGAAGCACCACCTCTAGTGAGGCAGCAGACAACTGCAACACCTACCTATGACCTTGAAGTACCTGTCCCTGGGGCGTGACCGCTGGGGATCCTTAAGACCTGAGATGCATGTACATGGCTCCTTCCTTGCTTGCTCATGGTTTTGGGTCCTGGGAAGGACCAGGCAGATCCCAGGCGGAAGAACATCGAGGGATCATGCCTCATCCTTCCAGGGTCCTAGGACATATTTTGTCTTGTGAGTTTTCTTTCCCAAATAAATTCCTTTGCCCTTAAAGCAGACTCCATGGATTTCTCACATTAACATACTCATGCATTTATACACAAATTCACAGACATGCAAAACTATACTTATGGTTATATGTGTCTGTGTGTGTCTATGCATGTGTATAAGCCCTAATACCCAACCTTGCTTCTGATTACATTTTGACATATTTTTCTGTGGTAACACTATATTGTCCTTTCTAATTGTGACCTATGTTTTGGGGTCATTTACACTTACTTTGAGCTACTGGATCGTGGCACTAAATTTCTGATAATCTACATTTTAAATTCTGTCTGTGTGTTCCCTATAACAGAACTTGTTTTGATCCAATACCCATGAGGTGTTTGCGTATCAGTAGAATGGATTCTGTGAACTCATTAAAGCCCTGATAAGCCAGAGAGCCCTGGCCTCACCAGCTACCAGATGACCATCCACATTGCCTTTTTGAATGGGGAGGGGTGTGAAGACATGCTGAAAAACACAGCATTTAAACTGTAATGAATCAGCGAGCCCTTCCCTCTACTCAGGCTGTACAGGAGACCATTCTCTGTGAGGAAACAAGGGCGTGGAACATTTCCTAAGGTCCAAAGGAAGGGGAGACAGGTTCATGAACGGCAGATGTCCTGGAGGGCCAGGGTGGCTGCTGTTCAAAAAGCTTATGAAAGATGAAGCTCCCCTGGCCCATCCCATGTCTGGCCAGGCCCTTTAGCAGACACAGACACAGAGCTTTTGAATACGTTCTATTTACTTCTCAGTGTAGTGCTCCGCAGAGCCAGACTCCCGCCATGGTACTGTAGTTGAGTCCATGGACGTTTCACTTCTGAAATACCAGCCTCGGGCATTTCCTTAGCTGCGGTGGAGAGTGGAGGGCTCAGCCATCCTTATCAGCATTGTTTGTGGAGCATGGAGGCGAAACTAGGAAGTGTGTGAGGCTGACACGATACCGGTTAGTCTCCACAGCTGGGGTGTCTTTGCAGAAACTCCACATCTACTCCTCGGCTCCTGCCTATGATGTCTGGGAAGGTCTCTGTGAGTGGAACCTCAAAGAAACAATCCAAACATCTAAGCTGCTCATACAAATTCATGTTCGGGGACAAGTTAGTTAAAAATCTATGGGAGACTGCTCAAATACACCTAACTCCTGATTACTCAGCCTTTAAAAAATTAGTAGCCAGACAGTGGTGGCACACGCCTTTAATACCAGCACTCGGGAGGCAGAGCCAGGTGGATCTCTGTGAGTTCGAGGCCAGCCTGGTCTACAAAGCAAGTTCCAGGAAAGGCGCAAAGCTACACAGAGAAACCCTGTCTCAGAAAACCAAAAAACAAACAAACAAACCAAAAACAACAACAGATTAGTAGATGCAAATAGATAAAGTTCACCAAATCCCTGAGGCCCTCCCCAGGACCGGACTGTGTCCTCTGACTGGCAGCGTCAGCGTTTCTATTTAGAGGCAAACCCTAGACAAAGAAACGTTTACCATAAACTGTTCCAGCAATGTGACACGACTTTTCTGTCACTGAGGTCACACTGCCGTGGTCTCTCACTTCCTCTTCAGCCGCCTGGATTTCAGCAATCTTTGTGATGCAGAACCGCCCACCCAGCCGTTCCTCACTCTAAATGACAAGGATGGTTGTGATCCGTCCCATCTTCTCATGGTATGATCTGGGTTTTAGAAGGTATCCCAAGTCCTCTAATCCCCCTAGGTCTTCCCAGGTCCTTTATTTTCTTCTTAGAGGGATGCATTAGGAGCTTAGATGCAGGACTCACTCGCAGTGTTGGAGCTTGTAGGTCACAGTGACATCCAACGGATTCATTAACATAGCAATCGGGAGAGAGAATGGAAGGCCGGGCTTCCGGTGAATGCCAAGCTTTGTTTTAAATCCTCGTCGAATCCTAATAGGACTGGGAGGGAGCCGGGGATCTGAGACACTGTTTTGCAAAACTGGGAGGCAGCAAGCCTAGGGACGGAGCTGCAAGGGTGGAAAACCTCGCCTTGCAGAGCCCATGGCGAACAAGTGCAGCAGAGGTGGGGGTGGAGATAACGGGGTGTTCACCCCAAATCACAGCACTAGATACTAGCTTCCCAAGCTCCAGCTTCACGGCCACAGGCAAAAGCATCTCACTTTCCCTTTCTTACTTCCTTTTCATTTTTCTGGAGGTAAGACCTCACTAAGTATCCATGGCTGGCCTGGAACTCATTATATAGAGCAGACTGGCCTCAAACTTACAGAGGTTCACCTGTCCGCTAGCACCTCGTTGTTTTGTTTCATGAGGTGGGGAGGGAGGGGTAACTGCAGCCAAGGATTCCTTTGGGTTAGCTGGCGGTTCTCCTGGGCTTTATTCTCTTAGAACACAGCACCTTTTCTCCTTCCCTGTTTTTCAGAGCCAAGGGGTGTCCCTGTAACTTACAGACATTCCCGTAGATTTTGGCTTTGCTTTTGAGACGCAGGCAAGTCAGTCACACACAAATTCTGTGAAGCAAGCCTGAGGGGACCTAATACCTTCGCATCTGCTTCTCCTTCCGATGTAGCTTTCCGGATGCCACTTGTAGGTTTCTACTCCATCCAGCATCCTCAGGCAACAGAAAGCCTCCACACGTAGGGTCTGAGTCACGGGCCATCTTGAACACATGACCACAGTTCGGGAACAAAACTTATATGTAGAGTTTAAGAAATTCAAATTTTAGCCAAAGAACAATGGCAGGAATCTTCGAGGTTCAGGAGATGAGGGGTACTTCTTTTTGCCCCATATACTTTTTGTCTAGAAATTCCAGGAAACCTGTAAAATTGCTTATTCTAGAAGTCTCAACTGAAAGACAATCCTGAACTATCTCCCCCTATATTATGCACTGTGGCTAGCCAACTTTCTACTATCATAAAGGGGTACCTGCTATGAATACAGAACTTGGGACTTAAGGGCTCAACCAACAAATGACCTTGCCATTCTCTCTGACTACATATCATCAAACCGAGTAGGAGGTTACACATTTGCTTTCGAAGCGATCCTGCTGTCTTCCCTAGGCAGTTTATTTCGGTGATGGTGATTGTTACAGAAAACTGCTAAGGGTGCGTCCCCCTCGACACCCTCCTCTACTTCTTTTGATCAAAAAGAAAAACCAGATTCCCAAGGGAAGAGAGGAGTGGAAATCACGGTCACTGGTGCTTCTTTAGGAGACTCTAAGATGTATGCTTCCTAATCACGATGGGGGGGGGGGTCCCCTCTTGGGCTGTTACGGGACTAGGGAACCAAGAGTAAGTAGGGTAATTTGGTGATTTTTGAGAAGGGCCAGCTTGGGAATACTTCTCAGAAGTACATCGAGGATGGCATAGCTAACTGGCAGATGCAGGAGCTGGTGAAGGATAGCCTGGGAATTTGCAGCTATGGACGAAGCATGCATTCCTGCCACTGGGCCTTCTAAAGAGCCACCAGGAAGGGCTGCCATGTACGACTCCAGCCCCACTCACTCTGGGACTTGTGTAATTCTGCACACTGAGTCTGCCGCTCCCAGCCCCAGCCCAAGGGGAATACTTATCTCCTCATGCACTTGGCCTGCCATCTGTCAGTCACGCAGCCAACTGTGGGCAGAGGAGTGGGTCTGCGAAGGTCAAGTTATGTCCAGGGTGAGAAATAGACTCTTCATGGTTTTGCCACATATGAAACATCACGCAGATCAGCCCATTGCCCCAATACAGGCTGATAACCAAAGAAGAAGTGTGCGCTTTTGAAGTCTGAACTTTTAAACTCTACATCTTGGAGATTTTCCACTAGACCTTCCCTGCTCGTAGGTGTCTCTCTACGTGGTCCAAGTCCATGCATGTGATGTCAAGGGTATAGTTCACCTTCTAGGACTGGTTGGCTCATCAGACCTGGAGGTTCTTTCAGGCTGCGTCATGTGTTGATGGCTGACACAAGAATCATACGAAATCTCACCAGAGCCCAGAATGGAGGATGCGTGGTTCTTGCAGAACAGGAAATGGATTACCAAGTGGGACCATGCAGAACTTCTCCATGGCTTATTTTGTTATTCCCCTTGAGTGACAATTTCGTCTCTCCCTCATTAGACGGTCTCAGACTTCTCACTTTTCTTTGTCTTCTCCCAGCATCCCCCACCAGCAGTGGAACAGTCTATCTCGCATGCTTTTTGTTTTGTTTTGTTTTGTTTTGTTTTTTGTTTTTCCTGTCAGTGACTCCAGTGCAAGGGCACTCATGCCTCCTGTTCACTCGCATCTTTGCTCTACACGAGGAATCTCAGGGCCCCCTGCCAGCCGCCATTCTTCTACCTTATATGAAACTCTCCAAGAGGTCCTGTTTTGATGTGGACAATCGTCTAAATGTCACGCAGAGCCTCTTGCCAACCTGTAGATTCCCTGCTTGGGTGTCCCTCAGCAAGGTTTAAGGATAACCTCAGATAAGCCTGGGCTGGCCTTACTTGATGATTCCCTCTAGGACACATGACGAAGTAAAACAAGGCTGGCGTGATAACTCAGTAAAATGTTTGCCTTGCAAGCAGGAGGACCTGAGTTCGATCCCCCAGAACCCACGTCGGGGGAGTGGGGGGAGCCCTATCTGGTGGTGTGAGCTTGCAACCTCAGTTTTGGAGAAGCAGAGCCAACCTAGCGTACTTGGACAGTTCTAGGCCAAGTGAGAGACCCTGCCTCAGAAAACAAGGTGGGCAGTACCAGAGGGATGACAGCCAAGATTGTCCTCTGGCCGCTAGGTGCATGCACGTACCTGTGCACACGCACATGCACCTGCCCATGTACACAGATAACACCCCCTCCTCCCCCCCAAAAAAAGTATAAAAAGAGAGAAAATAAAATTTTATACTACTCCACAGAAACCTAAAAGTGCCACAGATATGTAGCATCCTGGGAGCCTCCTCTTAGCACGGTCCCCTGTCACACTGTAACAACAGCAGGATCTGCAGCTTGCTGGCCTGAAAGCAACAGCCAGCTACTCACTGTCTGCTGTCATTTTGTTAAAAAAAAAAAAAAAAAAAAAAAAAAAAATCTTTGCTCTACACCATGAATACTAAAATTCGCTGAAGGAAGTGGAGGGAGGGAGCCGCATTATTTAAACTCTTTCAAACTTGCCTGAATGAAGCGCTTCACCCAGCCCCTCAGAGAACAGGCTGGTGCTGACCCTCGGGGCATCCATAAGATGACCTCAGAGCTTTTTTCTCTGCGTCTGTTTTCTGTGAAGGAGAAAGGCTGGAGCTGAACCAATGGAACAAAGAAGTGAGTTCATCCCCTCTCCCGCCCCAAGCCCTTTAATCTTCGGTGGAGTCCCGATTCCAGATCATTTCCACCAGAGAAATTTTCAAAGCATCCGCACGTAATGTCACCGTAAAATATGATAAGATCATCCTCTGCCTTTAAAGGCAAAACTCATTTCCTAGAGCTTTTCTGAGTTTCCATTTCTTCTTCCGTAATTACTACCTATGTCATCAGGAATGGGCCCTAAATATCCCCCCCCCCATTCCCTCCGGTGCCTCAAAATGCCCTCCACTGTCCAGCAGTCAAACCGAGCAAGCACAGTGTTTCCTTGCAGGCCGCTGGCAGTCCCTGTGATCAGGTGAGGGTTGTTCGCTCTTTGGGATCCAAGTAATGACCTGTCAGCTTCTCAGGCAACAGGCAGAATCCAGAGAAGTCACAGCACAAGGAAACGGGCATCTTCTGCAGGACGGTGGCTTCGCCTTCTTCCCTTTGGCCATGTATTCTTTCTTTTTTTTTTTTTTTTTTTTTTCATGTATTCTTTCTTTAGAAAGCAGATAAGGAGGTCTTATTTGTTGAGAAGGAGTGTGTGCATTAGCTGCCATGGTAACGTATGTTCCTATCGGCACTGTCCAGGCCAATTAAGTTCGGTTCAGATTGCTCGTGTTCTTTCTCTGCTCTGAAAAAGCCACTCAAGTCAGAGTCTGGTAAGTGTCTTTAGAGCACTAAGCATCAGGCTCGGATGTCCCTCCGCTGACTTTCTGGGAAACCGTACCATATGCAGTGTGTCCCCACTCCTCTCCCCTAAGACTCTGGGAGAACCCTGGGCCTCAAACTGTGCCCTGCTCTGAGCAGGGGTGAGCTTTGCCACACTGTCTGTGCCTGTACCTGCCCTGTACACTCTGCGGTTACGTTCTGAGCCTCCCGTTTGCTTCTTTAAAAATCTCTTTTTCCAGGCTTTTGCTCAGGCCTGTGGTCCCAGGTCTCCTATCCCTTCAGTGCCAAAGCTGTCTGTCTGTGTGATCTCTTCATTTACCCCTCAGTCCCTGTTCTAGCCCTCCATCCTGCAAGCTGTCTTTGGTTCAGGGATACTGTCCTTAAGGGACTTATACTTCACGTTAATTTATTTGGAAGAGGGCATGCAGGCCTTGTGATAGGAGATAATTTGTGGGAATTTCTTCCCTTTTTCCACTATATCCCACCAGCGTATCAAACTCAGATTATCAGGCCTGACAGGCAAGCACCTCTACGTCTTGAGCCATCTTGTCAGCCCAGGAACTGATATTTTAATGGATAAGGTAGACAAATTTTAAAAGGCCACCGGCTTTATAAATGGGTCCTATAAAACTGACAGATGAGGCCTTCACATAAAACATTCCATTCCTGTTCCTGGGGTGCAGATCTCTGGGTTCCCCCTATTGCTTCAACAAATAGTACAATTCCCCCAAGGATATGTTACGGGATATTTGGACACTGTATGACTGGTGTAATAAAAAGCTGAAGGCCAACAGCAAGGCAGGAGAGAATAGGCAGGATTTAGGGAAGAAGAAAGGCGGAGTCTCCAGCCAGATGTGGAGGAAGCAGGATGGGCAATACGGAGATGAGATAACGAGACATGTGGAAGAACGGAGATTAAAAAATATGGGTTAATTTAAGTTATAAAAACTAGTTAGGAACAAGCCTAAGCTAAGGCCGAGCATTCATAATTAATACTAAGTCTCCATGTCATTATTTGCGGGCTGGCGGTCCCGATGAGAAAGCACAACTACAAGGATAAGTACATATTCCTGCCTGAGGCTCCTCGTTGGAGCGGGTATACTGCAGAGGGCACTGAGTGTTGGGTCCCTCTCCTTCAACCATCATTTCCTGGAAGCATCTGCTACTTTACGGTGGGTTCTGAGTAAGATTCCTTTGGAAGTGCTCCACAGACTAGAGAGATGGTTGAAAACTTATCCAGGTTTTCTGGGGTACAGTCACTACTGCGGTGTCGCTTCCGTGGGGCTGTGGGGCGATGCTTGGGGGAAGGGCGCCGAATCCAGTCTTGGGGGTGTGGCATGGCTCTGGAAAGGTTTTCCATACAAAGTGATTTCTGAGTAAGTGTAAGGTGGCCCGTGGTGATTGTGTGTCTTCTAGGCAGAGGCCCAAGTGTGTGGAAAGCCCCCAGAAGAAAGCAAAGAAAATCTGGTTCCTTCAGAGAAGTGGCAAGGCGGCACAGTGGAACTCCCCAAGATGGCGGTTGCTTGGCTCAGAAGAGAGTCACTCAAAGCAGTCATAAGCTGTCAGAGGGTCATATTCTCTGCCGGGGGAAGAGCAGTTTGCCCCCAGTTGCCTACTCAGGCACAGTCAGCCAGTTAGGAGCCAGCATGGATCTGCGTCAGTGTCTTCTCACAGTGAAGGGAATTCTTAAAAGCCAAGAGCTCGAGGTGCTTAAGTTTTCATCCTATCTTTATTCACTGTGAAAATGGAAGGGAAGTGTTGTTGTTGATGTTATTGCTAAAGTATCATTATAGGATTAAAAGAAAAAAAGGCAAAGGCTGAGTAATTGTTTATGTGATTATTTATGGCTTCTTATCTAAGATCAAAAACTTTTAGGCCCTCTGAAGGAAAAGGGAAGTGGTTGTTTCCTGTACATAAACTTGCTTCGTCACAATCGACCATTTGAAGACCATAATAAGCAGTATAGGACATGATGGCTTCTCCCCTTGGAAAGGGGTAGCTCTTTTAAAAAGACCTCGGGCAGAGCTATTTGGTTTTGATGGGGCCCAGGTTCCCCTCCCTGTGACCATCTTGGTCCTGAAAGCTCTCAATGGAAGGGAAGTTTCGCTTGTTTTCGATGCTGGTGGAGGTTCAGTCCTCAGGAAAACGGGGTCTTAGGAATCTGGGAGGCTGGTGAGAAAGAGCAGATTGCTCTGAAGCAAATGTCAGCCTGACTCCACATCCAGTCTCTCAGGCTGGGTCTTGTGGGAACTGCGTTCTGAGACAGTGGTGAGGGTTAAAGTTCAGCAGTGGAACATGGACTGGGTTTGAAGTTCAAGGGTTTGGGAGGCAAGCTCCCCCTCCCCCCACCCCCTCCCTCCCACCCCCAGATCCAGAGCTGTGGTGGAAGGATGAGAAAGTGACGGAGAGGAGGGGACAGGAAGTCCTGCATGACCTTAGCTCACCTTTTCAGGCTGCTTTTCTGCTCAAGCTCTCCGGCCATAGGCATCTGGGGACAAATGGCTCTCTCCTCTGCAGAGGATTTAACCATGTGACGGTGGGTGACTGTGGTGAGTGACTGTCCTCCGAGCCAAGCATCCACCATCTTGGGGAGTTCCACTGCGCTCCCTTGCTAACAATCATCCCAGCCAGGCTGGTTGACACCTCAGCCTAGAGGTGCAGAGTAGGAAGGGCATGGGATTTTCTCCTGAGTATCCACCTACTCCCTGCTGCTTGCCCAGGCTGCATGTGCCCTGGTGGGTTAGCGGGTGGGGGACCGGGGATGATTCCATCTCTGTGGCTGCAGAGAAGCCCTCATCCCTGTGTGATTCAGTCCCCACTCCTGTAATCCCTCACCTAGACTATGGAAGAAAGCTCAATAAACTCGTTGGTTCTCCAGAGTGACCTTTGACAGAACTGTGCCTCAGTTTACCTTTGGAACTTTGAAGTGGGGCAGATGTTGCTCTGTTCCCCCCAGGGAAAGAATTTTAGCAACAATGATAGAATAGAACTCTCTCAACTATGAGAAGTCTTTGGATTTAAACACGCTGTCCAACATGAGCAGTAGCTCCAATGATTTCATCTTGAGTATTTAAACTTTCACGTCTCCCCAAGCCGTACAAACCTGCTGTTGTCTTTTCTTATTTTAAATTTTTAGCCAGGCATTGTGGTCCATGCCTTTGATCAGCACTTGGGAGGCAGAAGCAGGCAGATCTCTGTTGAGGTGAGTTTCAGAATAGCCAGTGAGTATAGAGAGAGACTCTGAAAAAAAAAAAAAAGAAGAAATTTTTTTCCTTTTTAAATATTTTAGGTTGATTTGCTCTATTTTATGTATTTGAACATTTTGTTTGTGTTTGTTTTTGTTTTGTTTTGTTTTGTTTTTTTTGAGACAGGATCTGTCTGTATAGACTTGGCTGTCCTGGAATTCACTCTGTAGACCAGGATGGCCTCAAACTAGACCAGATGTCCTCCTGCCTCTGCCTCCTGAGTGCTGGGATTAAAAGTGTGCGCCACCACTGCCCAGCTGTGTATGAGCATTTTACCTGCATATATGCATGCGCCTAATATCCGTGGAGGCCAGAAGAGGACAATGGATCCTATTGTTGGTCTTTTTACTCTTTGGGGGCCCACCACCCAGCTCCCAAATAAATCCCTGGAAACTTACTCTTACTTATAAATGTCCAGCCTTAGCTTGGCTTATTTCTAGCCAGCTTTTCTTAAATTATCACATCTATCTTTTGCCTCTGGGCCTTTACCTTTCTCTATTCTACATATCTTTCTTTTCTTCTTACTCTGTGGCTGGCTGGGTGGCTGGGTGGCTGGGTGGCTGGGTGGCTGGGTGGCTGGGTGGCTGGGTGGCTGGGTGGCTGGTCCCTGACCTCCTCCTCTCCTTCTCATTTTCTCCCTCCTCCCTCCTCTCTTCTTTTTTCTTCTCTTGAGCCTAGATTTCTCCTTCTATTTATTCTCTCTGCCTGGCAGCTCCACCTATTTCTCTATCCTGTCTAGCTACTGGCCTTTCTGCTCTTTACTAGACCAATCAGGTGTTTCAGACAGACAAAATAGCACAGCTTTACAGAGTTAAGTAAATGCAACATAAAATAATGCAACACATCTTTGCATCATTAAACAAATATTCCACAGCATAAACAAATGTAACACATTTTAGACTAATATTCCACAACAGGATCCGTTGGAACTGGAGTTACAGACAATTGTGAGCTGCCATGTCGTTGCTGGGAACTGAATCCAGGTCCTCTGCAAGAGCAGTAAATGCTATTAACCCCACACTCTGTATATCTTAAGCTGGTTTATTCTACATAGCTTTCCTGTGGGAAGTAAGGACCAAAAACATGACCTGTCAATGTGAGGGATAAATATTTGTCATGTAAGTACTGATAGATTTAGACAGTTGTGTTTGGGGGAAAAAAGAGTCATTTTATCATGAAGAATAATAGAGATTACTATTAAAAGAAGAAAAGAAGTCGGGTGGTGGTGGCACATGCCTTTAATTCCAGCCCTGGGAGGCAGAGGCAGGTGGGTCTCTGTGAGTTCAAGGCCAGCCTGATCTACACAAAGAAACCCTGTCTTGAAAAAAAAAAAAAAAAAAAAAAAAAAAAGAAGAAAAGAATTTTATGTATTTGGATAATTCAAAATAGTTGCCTTAATATTTGGCATCATTTACATACACTTATAATATTTATAACTTCAGAAATACATATTTGCAATTTGAATGTTATGATATTTTCAAATGTGCTGTGTAGTAAAGCTTATTTTACAAATGCATCAAGGTTCAAGGCTCAATGCTGGAGGGCCTTTGTGAAACGACCTTTTGTTCAGCTGGGTCAGCTGCCCCATATTGTTCAGCTGGGTCAGCTGCCCCATATTGTTTAGTTGGGCTTAGCTGCCCCACAGTAGTAAACTTGACAGTGTAAGCCCCACCTCTATGCCTGTAAGCATCTCTTGGATGCTTCTGCATTCATTCATTTATTACTCCTTCATCCTACCCACATTATCGAACACCCACAAAGGACTGAGCTATTGTAGAAGAAACAAGGAATTCAAGATGAGTGGGGTTGGTCTTCACTCTCCAGGAGGAAGAACACCAATAAAATGGAATGTCTGATGCGCTCTGACACAGTGTGGCCAAGGTGCAGGGGAGGGGCAATAGAGGGGGTAGTTCTGTCCTGGTTGACAGGAGCCTGCTCCCCTGGACCCTTCTAAAACATAAGAAGCAGCTATATCATGAAAAGAGCCATACAGTGAGAGGCACAAGACGTCCATTTGGCTGTGTCCAGCTACATAATAGGTTTCTAATTCCTGGAAATTCACGTCAACTCTTTTCCTCCTGTACAAAATAGAAATAATGGTATTACCTGGTCATCCATCTAACAAAATGAGCTAATGAACAGGAAGAACTATTACACACACACACACACACACACACACACACACACACACACACACACACACGAGGATGCTCTGTCTCATTCTACTGTCCCATTCCATGAATGGTAACTACTCATCATGGCTTCAGGAAGGAAAAAAGAGCTAAAGAATTGATACAGGACTCAGGAGGATAAGAAGGTAAACAAAATATAAATTAAACACCCTAGAGCTGACTGTGCTGGAACACGCCTTTAATCCCAGCACTCAGGAGGCAGGGGCAGGCAGATCTCTGAGTTTGAGTCCAGCCTGGTCTACAGAGTGAGTTCCAGGACAGCCAGGGCTACATAGAGAAACTCTGTCTCGAAAAAAAAAAAAAAAAACCAAACTAAAATGAAACAAAAGACACCCTAGACAACACATACAATCAGATTTAAACCCAATAACATGGAATTTGGATTAGCAATAAAATTTTTCTTTTTCTTTTTCTCTAAAAAGCTGTTAAAACATCAAAAATGAGGGTTGGCAGGATGGCTCAGCAGGTAAGGGTGTTTGCAATTCCAAGGCCCAGATTCAGTCCCCGGAACTCCCGTGGTGGAAGGAGAGAGCCACTCCAGAAGTTACCCTCTGATTTCCATGCAAGTGCTGTGCCCCCTCCCACCATAAATAAATGTCAAAACAATTTTTAGTTGCTGAAATGGCCAATAAAGGAAGGCTCTGGTTCCTCCCCGAGAGCCTTAAAAACAAGAACGGTGCGACCTCATAGCATGTCGTCCTCAGTGCGGTATGAGCAACACAGAGCCGAAGGATAAGAAATACATGGACGATGCTTGGCACAACTTGAAGCATTCCTTCCGGGGACCACAGAATCCGGAGACTCACGTTGGAGCCCCACTCACCCTCTGGATGCATTAGACGGAAAAGACATCCCTTCTCCTCGCCATGCCTTCACCGTTTCTTGTTCCTTCATAACTTGAGGTGTTTTGTGGCATACCTGCACAGGCTGAGGACCATGGAAGTCATTTGCTTCGGGACTAGCCAAACACACAACTATGTTCTCAAAAACACATGGGTGCTCCATTCTTGCTGTGGTCAACAGTTCCATCCCAGAGCCATCTAGAGTGTTACGTAGGCCTAGGGAACACATCGAGAAGTTAAAGTCTTTATGTCAGTGGGGTGTGGCTTAGAGATTCCTGGTACATGTTTGGCATGAAACCCGAAACACTGAAACATAAGGATAACACTTAACTTGGTTGTTTTCCAGATCCCGTAAAGTGAAGAGACCCTTCAAAATGGCCAAATGCAGACCCTGTACAGGAAGACAAAGAATGGTCTTCCCAAAGGGCCCTACCTGCTGCAGCTGTTCTGGAATGAGCCTGACTAGACACCATGCATTAAACCTAGTTTCCATTCACAAGAGAGATGAGAGTCTGCAACTGAGCACAGACCTACGGCAGGCTTGCCAATCTGGCTGTCAGTCAGCCCTGCCTTTACTGTTGCCTTATTCTCCTTTGGCTGTGGGAAGCAGAATCCAGGCCCAGAGAATGCACTGATGGACCTTCTAATTTCCAATGGTAATCCTTGAGTCAGACCCATTCCTGAAACGGCACTGCTATTTCTTAGATTTCTTTCCCATCTGGTGATACCGTAGCTTGAAGTATGTACTATTTTCCACCCTTCTTCGTTGGCGAGTCTGTCTTTGTGTGGAGCCAGCAGGGAACATGGCAGGCGTAGGAGGGAGTTTTTGTTGTAACTGTCTATTTTTAGTGGCTCATAAACTCAGTATTCCTTGGCCTGAAGCGGCACACGCTTGGTGTCAGCCCAAAGGGGAAGTCACTTTGGAAAGTTTGAGAAAAATCCTCTCCATGATTGCTTGGGCTGGTGAAGGGAGACAGAAATAAGTGGGCTTTGGGAAAACCAGGTCTGTAACTTTGTGTCAGTGTGGAAGTGGCTTCTGGAACCATGCAGAGGATCTTCTATCAGAACCCAGTTAGAGGAGAAGCCACTGGACCGAGCATGTAGGATGCTCTTTAATAGGCTACCTTCTAGCTCGGCATGGTGTCGCACACCTTTAATCCCAGGACTCAGGGAGGTAGAGGCAGGCAGATCTCTGTGAGCTCAAGTCCAGCCTGATCTACAGAGAGAGTTCCAGGACAGCCAGGGCTACACAGAAAAACCCTGTCTTGAAAAATTAAAAAAAAAAAAAAAAAAGGCTACCTTCTGGTCCCAGGAAAGAGGCAAAAAGACAAAGAACTGGATCCAAACGCAAGCAGCTTAAGGTCTTCCTAATCGTGTGGCCTCAGGCAGAGCCGTTCCTTCCCCGGGGTTCTGTCGGCTTCTCTATCAAATGAAGCAATGCTTCTCTTAGCTCAAATTCAGGTGTCATAAAGTGATAGAAAGTCATTTCTTCTTCAGATGAAAGTACTTGAATAATTTGGGGAAATTGTGTTCATGTTTTGTAGACATTGCTGGCAAGCAGTCACAGAGACCCAAGCACAGGCTCTTCTTGAAGTCCTTATGTGGGAGAACAGAAAAGTGGAGTTTGAGGACACAGATATATGGAGGAGTTCATGTTTCTGAAGGATGGAGGAGCAGGAGCCATTGAAACAAAAATAATGAGTTTCAGCAGAAGGTCCATGTCATTTTCCAGAAGTGAAGCTACGTGTCTATTAAAGCAAAGGAAAACCACGCTGAACCCTGTCTTCCCTAAGTGAACAAGAAGTCATTTGTTTACTTATTCATCTATTTATTTCTCCAACTAATATTTATTGAGTACCCACAAGCGGACAGGTTTCCTCCTTGGAATGGAAAAGGACACGCCTGGGGAAAGGCAGCCGTGAAGAGAGACTGCTGGTGGGCTGTCTTCTCACAGAAGGCCC